ATGGTAATAAATAACGGATTGGAGAATTTTGCAGGAAGTGAAATGAAAACATATTCAACAATAAATTGCGCTTTTTATAAATTTATCGAAAAAATTAAGAAGGCCATTTTTTACGAATTGTTGTATCACAGTATTATCATCATTATGAAATTGTCTTTTCCGTAGGTTCTTTCCGGTATATAGCTCCTTTCCTTTTGACGGCCCTGATTGCTCTTCTGACATTTTTCACTGTGAATATTTAAATCGACCCTTATTTCTCGAAATTTTTCTATAAGAAGTTGATGCTATTTGTTTGAAGGCAATCGGTTTTATGGTGGTTTTGAGTGGAATGATGATTTGCTGAACACTGACATTTTAATAACAGAAACTTTCGTCTGCAGTTTGAACGTGAGGTGTTTTTTAGGAACACAGAGGGTTTTGAAGCAACTCAACAAAATAGTATATTGATCTCTAAATAAATCAATTAACAATTGCTCTTTATATATCGCCAATGTCCAGTAGCTTTTATATCTTTGACTCTCATGAACATTATGTTAGTGAATTTCCTCATACCGGTCTAAGATTCAGATAACAGTACAATGTATTCAATTATATTGATAAATAATGTATCACCATATAACGTGTATAACAGACAAAAATTATTCCTGAATTTGGTCTTTTTGAAATTCATCCCCCAATTTATTTTTTCATTCCAGTGTGAGTTTTACTTTCAGTATTTATCTGGGACTAAATATCTTAAATCCCAGGTATTAAAAGAAACCTTTTTTTTAAATTTGACATGAAAAAAGCATGTTATATAACTATATTAGTTTATTTGTAACAATTATAACAATGAATGAAAAAAGCAGACTTTGTTCATTTTGACTATTGTTTTGTATGTTCCAAAGAAAATACATTTTATATTCTAATCTCTAGCAAACCTACCAATGTTCATGATGAACAATGTCTTTTGTCCTCACATTTATCTATGATATACAACTCTGGTAAAATCCAATTAACCACTGACCATGTCACATTACATTTACAAGTCTTGTAAGTATTGTTTGTCTGTAATAGAATTACTTTCCTTACCAGGTGGGCATCAGTGATACCATATTTTTTTTTTAAATTTTGATATCTGAGCCCTCTCTAATGGACAGTGCATACGATAAGTATAATTATGCAAAAAATGATTTATAAAACATTCGGAATAATGTACAATAGTAGGAGCAGTAGTCCAGTGGTAGGACACGCGCTTAGGGATCGAGAGGTCCCGGGTTCGAACCCCACCAGGGGCACTGCTAATTTCCTTGAGCAAGAAATTTACCTGCGATTGCTACACTTCACCCAGGTGTAAATGGGTACCTGCGAGGGTGGTATAATTCCGTTGCGCCAAAGTGTCGGCTGCACTAAGCGGAGTTAAAAGACTCCCCAGGGAGATTGATAGATAGATACCAGTAGCCCGATGACCAGGGGTAATAGCTGTAAAGTCGGTGAACGTGCGTAAGCATGAAACTTAGACTATAAAATGCAATTACTTTACTTACTTTACTTAATCTGAATAAAACATGACCTGTACGTAGGAATGATTTGGTAAGGTATCTGTAATGAGCGCATTTTTTTTTGCGTTGAGCTTCTCAATTGCTGCATTGCAGCAACATTTGTACTTGTATGCATAAGGTGTTGCTGCCAAAATAAATGGTCATATATTTCGGACGAGCTTCAACGTTTTCCGTATGGATGGCCGAAATCCACGATCATTCTATTCAGTTTTTCACAGACGAATTGGGGGTGAAACTTTAGCCAAAAAAGAGGATCCGTTTTCAATTTTGTATACTTCTAATAATGAGAATAACCAAAAAAAAACGCTGAAATATAAAATACATTATCGCACATAGTACGGTTCAGCAAATAATATAGAACAGATCATTTTATTTTGTTTTGCCTTTTCATTTAGGATAGCATAGGTTCTTCAGTATCTACTAATATATATCTGTGAAAGTATAAAAGGTGTCATTTTCAATAACTTCTTCATCACTGATTGGATAACTTTCAAGGGAAAATTCAATGCCATTTTAATGTTTTCCTGGGTGTAAAATGTTAAAGTTGCAAAGATAGTGTCTTTGATCATGCTTTTTTGATTCTCTTTTTTTAAACGTGGTTCTTTAATGTGCATTATTTTAATTGTTTTCGACGAAGGGGCAAGTCGAAGATTCATTCTTGATTTAATGTTCATTGTATTGACTGTAACTTTTAAATAGTATTGCATTGCTTTTGCGAGATTTACTTCGTGCCAAACGCCACACTTAAACATGTCATGAATGTAAGTCTTTATCAACTCATGCAATTTTGCCTATTTATGAATATTAATCGTCAGTATTCTACACTATCGACACTAATTGGATGTTTGGCTCGATCACATTTGCTAGGGATCTTTCACATTGCTGATGGCGCCAGCACACCGTGTGGATGGCTCAATCACATTTGATTAAATTTAAGTATTTCATTTTTAACCAGGCTCTTTAAAGAGGATGTTAGGATCATGTTCCATGCACGATAAATTGGGCAGATATTTACTTTACAGGACAAAAATCACTCAAGATATTTCTCAACGTAACAGAAAAAAAACACGAGTTAATATTTTTTTAAAGGTTCTTGCAACCTGGAAATTGCATTAAAAATGTTTTTTGTGACGTAGCATTCTTAAATTTTTGAAAGACAATTACGTTTTTAAAAGACGGATATTTTAACAAACTGTGTTAGTCTGTTTCTGCTTTGTTTTGGTCGATGGCTCTTCAACGGAAGTATCGAGGGCTCTCATTTAAACAGATCACCAAAATGTGAAAAAACACTGTTTAGTAGGCGTGTAATAAGTCAGTATACTTGCAAGATAAGGTACGTCAGCGCTATGCTTGCCTACATGTTTTGTAAGTTGATAATGAAATTACCGGGACCTTCATTGCAATCAACTATTCTTACATTACGCCCTGAGTCACGAATTCTAAACAACGTGCAACGCACCGGCGCTTGATCATGTGAATTTATCGTTAATGCATGTTTTTTTATTTAGTTTAATCTCTCTCAATTAATGTATATATGCATGGGCATTTGTATGCAAGAATAAACAGTAAAATGCTTTTCTTGAATAATTGTGGTATGAAACATTCTTTGCTACTAAATCCGCAATTTATAATTATAGGATATAGTTCTTGCTTGCGAAACAAACAAAACATGGACTGAGATATTTGCAATTTCTTCGCTTTGACCGCTTGCATGTATGTAATGATGACTTGTTAAAGTTAAAAGCTTTTAACCTAACATAAGTTCATAAGATCAGTATGAAAAAGAATTCAATAAAGGAAAACAGTTTGCTTTTTATTGTAGAATACAATGTGTTTATTTGGACCAAATGTAAAATATTGTTTTTCAATATTTGCATCAATTATAAAAAGATGAAAATCTGAAACAAAACACAGCATTTATCTTTTTTCTTTTTCATTCTTTCTTTTCAAACAACATTGATAAAGTTTTATTTTTACATAGATGATTAGTAATATGTGTCAAACATTTTATACAACAATCATGAGTAAAGCTAAATTTGTAATTCAAGCAAGTAACTTTGCTTAAAAATGGCATTATTAGTCGCCGGTAGAAACCGGCGACTATATTTGTAACAGTTTAATATTATATCTATGGTAGGAGAAGGCCTTAAAATCTGAAAATAAAAGCAAATCAATTACTGAACAATTAAGGACCACAATTATTTTTCAGAATCTTAAAAATTCAAAAATAAATTAACGTTGCTAAATGAAATGAAATATACAAATATTGACATCTTAAAAAGCAACTTTACAATTTTCATAAAATGAATTAATAACGTATCCCTATGGACCAGTCATTGAATTTAGGGATACTTTTACTTTTTTCTAAGTGTCAAGCGTTGCTATTTTATGATTGATAAATCACGAATGATATTTAAAATGACACATTTAAATTATCTGGTTGTTTTATATCTTATGACACCTATTATATTTCATTATTTTATCTAATTATAAACAGATTCTCCCTGTTCTATTGTAAGAATCACGTGACTACACGTTGTATGTTAGTGTTATAGAATCTATTAATAGTAACAGATTGCTGATAAGACATACTAGTTGGAAAACGGTATGGGGGCTAATTAGATGCAAATGTATAAATAATTACAAAGTTATCTTTCATTAATCAGTTTCATATTTTATATCATTAGAAAGGATTAGTAGATTTCTACATTAAAGAATTAAATAAATTTTCAAAACCTTTTCATTTTATCTTGGTAAAGGGTTAAATTTTGCCCTTTCTGTCAATGTTCAATAGTTTAGTTTAGGTTGAACATCACAAAATAGATTAATGCTAAAGAGGCACATTTATTGAAATAAATAGTGGTAACCGTCGTCTTCGTTATATTCCGTCGATTTCCGTCGCGCAGGTTACCAAAACGGTACGACACATAATAATGAAAACTAATAAAATATCTTTTTGTTAATATTTTATCGAACTGAAAGGCAATTAAACGTTAACTATATCGTATGTAACGACAGGAATATTGATTTCAACTAAACAGCTTATTTTTTTCGATAGCGCAAAAAAAAATAGTTTTATGAAAACTGCAAAAGGGATTTTCAAAGATTCGAATTTGGCCTACTAGGTCACAACTTCGTCCTATACTTACCACATATTAATTAATTTAATATCGAGATCTATACTATCAATAAAATCTTTAGCATAAATCATAATAAGTTACGTAAACTAACGTACGAAATACTTGCTTAATAATCATAGCAGTTCCTTAACAATATTGCTAAGCAAGTTTGCTTCATATATGATGTTTTATTTTGAATAAAACAGTTACTCAACATAAATTGTTCCTCTTTTCTTTATACCTGAAACCATTAATTAAACTGATTGTTTTATATTTATGATAATACAGTCATTTTCTATCCGGCGACTTGATGCTTTAGCATCAAAATCTCTACTTGTTATGATTTGTTGTTATTATTTCCTCCTGTTATAGACATTTTATTTATCATTTTTATACTGTATGTATATTTTATTTATACTTGAAGTAACGAGGTACTCTATTTGTACAAGTTGGAAATAAACTTTTCCTCTTCTTCTTCTATGTCGACGTGTCAAAAGTGTGTAAACAGACCATAAAAACACAATACATTGTACATCAAAATGTTTATAATAAAAAAGTAGTGCTTGACTGAATGTTTACTCTAAAACAGTCAATGACTGGTATTTTTTACTTCTTCTGCTTCCGGCACCATTTAACAAAGTCACCAGCTGAGTTACAACCAGACGCTCCTGACCGCCCATCTTTAGTTACTAAATCTCCATTTTTATCAAGTATCACGAGTGTTGGAATGCCTGTTACTTCAAACAAGCTTGATAATTTTGCCTGCAATACACATGTAAAACATGCTTTGATGACCATAAGAAGAAAATGGTATAAACTGTTAAGCGCATAAATAAGATTATAACTTTTCTAACAATACATGTGAAAATGGTACTGACTCTGATTTGAATAAATGTTGCTTGTTGACATCAGTGTCACCGTGTATATCAAGTAACGCCGGGATTCGCAACTAACGTATAAATCGCGCCGACTCCATGCAACTCTATGGTCAAAACGGTAGCATGGTAAGAAACCAGACCAAAATATTTCACCCTAAATCAAATAACAAGAAATGAATAAGCACATATGGCTGTTATGACATTATACTTAGATCAGCATTAATTTTTTTTCAGGAAAATAAACACTTTGATGAAATGTTTTAATGAGGTTTGAATATAATATTTCAGCAACCGCATGCGCTAATTATCTTTGAATATGATTTACGATAAATATATTGGTTCCTTTACCCTGCGGGAACAAATCGATCGTTACTTTTGTGCACATGTACTGCGTTATTTGCAGATGCGTGCGTTACTGGATATAAACGGTGAGTGTTGAGATACATTACATAATATAACTCCTAACCTGCTGTTGTTTTGTAATTGACCTCAGGAGGGTCGATTTGAATTTGGAACCGTCCATTTCAAAAGTTAAGGGATTTCAAATTACAATAACAAAAAATTAGAGCTATATAATTCCTGATCAGACTGGACAGAACCATTATATCTAAAACAATATTATTCTGATATATTACTAACACTATATCACTGATCGTATAAATAAATAGTTAAAAAATAAAACGTTTCCTACAGAAATAATGACGGTTAGTTTTGTGTTTGAAAGCGGCAAGAGTTATACCTTTCCATCTCTATCATTATATTTCAGTGCAATCCACGGCATTTCTCCAAAATATTCACTAAAGCTGGTTTCGTCCCGATCTGAGCTGATAAATACTATCTGTAGTTTTTTCCCGTCTTCATCAGACTTTGTTTCATACAGTTTCTTAAGATCAGGTGTAAAACCCCTGCAAGGTGGACACCAATGAGCGGAGAAATACAGCCCTGAAAATTGTTAACGCACCCATGCAACGTGTATATCCAGAAACGCAGGAATGTAAAAATAATGCAAAAGTAACGCCAAATCTGTTCAATACTATGGCCAAAACAAGTATCACAGTAAGTTAACGGACCGAATACTTTACAGAAAATCAAAAACGAATTGATTAAGCTAATATGGTTGCTATTGCATTTTACTTTAAAAAATATTATTCACGTAATTTTGTATGAGGTAACCAGCAATGCTTCGGTGCATCATTTACGAATTAACATATAATTTCTAACATTTCGTGTCTTCGATAAGTGAGTATATTATCGTATCTTTATATTTTCGCCTTTGACTTTTGAGGGGCGAATGCACGAAACCACTATATGGCAGAAATCGTCCACCTTATAAACATTTCATCAGCTAAATTTTTGTGTTATATTACACTAGAAATTCGACAAATGTTACGGGTATGCAACATATCTAAAAGAAAACATGTATAATGTACGCTATTGTATTTAAAAATATCGACGAAAACAAAATAAGTCACATTCAATACCTAGCCAGGTCATAATTCACTCGAATGAGCTTGAAAAGGTTTTGATAATAACATCTCAGCAACCGAATGCGCTTATTTTTTTTTATTTGATATACAATAACATGTATGAACGTCAATTTAGTAAGAAGTTGGTAGCTGGTAGTTGGTACCCATTTCGCAATAGAAAAGCACAATTCTGTGTTACTTTTGAACTATTCATTCATTCGTTATTTGCACATTCCTGTGTTACTGGATATACACGGTGACATCTTCAATGTAATTGAACAACAGTTTACCTTGATATAGACTATTCGTTTGAATTGTATCAAAATGAACTACACTTTATTTACTAACATACAAGAAAAAAAAACATATTTTATACATAGTTTGAATTTCGTTTTCCAAAACTCATATTTATACATAGATTCTGCCAAAAAAATCATACACAATTTTTCATAAGAATTTATTCACAATTGTGCAATAAAGATTCAACCTTGGTTTTTCTTTGTGTTCAAACTGGACAGTTAATCCGTTTTAATGTCATAACTAAACATGTGACTGTAAACTGTATCATAGTTTGGGGACCTTTCTGTTGAAAATGTGTCAGAGTTAAATCGTATACATATACATGCACAGTGCGTTAACTGGAGTGCAGGTATTAGTTACCCGCACTCCAGAGCATGCCTATTGATTGGCTAATATTTGCTGGGGTTTACTTATTGTGACGGAAGAGAAAGGGAAAGCGATAGAAATGTCATTTTCAGATGCTCGTTCATTGGTTCCTTTTTTTCTGGGGTTTCATATTGTGACAACAGGGAGCGTGATTTTATGTTTGACTATGATACAAAAGAGAAAGAACATCAAAACACTCGGCAATCTGATTAATACTCGGGGGCTACGCCCCCTCGTACAAATCAGATAGCCTCGTGTTTCGATGCTCTTTCTATTACTTAACAGAACAGCTAGATTTACCGCGGCCGAGTATCTTTTTTTTAATGGTATTTCTAGTTTTCCAATAAATATCATTGTTTAGCTGGTGTAACCATTGACAACTTTTAATTTGTTTCAACGAAAAAAAATGTTTAAAAATTTAACCGTGTGTATAAAAGACTGAAATATTTAGCTTTGATTTTTAATCTTTGTTAACTAAAGATACATTTCCAATTAACCGAACATAAAAACATACCATAATAAAAAATTCTATTATCAAGCAAATGGTTAATCTGTCTAATGAATCGGCTATCAACTTACACATAATAACTTTATAAAAATATAATGAAAATATAATTATTCCAATTAAAGAAATAATAAAAGAAGGAATCTTACCTATATATTCATAATTTTCAGGTTGAAGCTCACAGCCCCCATCTTTATCAATGAGTTGACCGGATGGAAAGTGGGTCCCAAAATCTACATGTGTCATTTTCACTTGTGTTCTGTTAAAGTAAAGTTGACCAACTGAACGAGTAAAAAATAAACACCGTGCTTTATGTAGTTAAAGTGTAAGGTTTAAATCAATGACTCGGGACGAGCACATTTATATGTAGTAGATATATTTTATTCATAGTTGTTTTAGCGTAACCAAGGACGCTTAGCTATTGCAATCAATAGTCAGCCATTTTCCGATACCAAGTTATTTTATCTACATAATGGTTATTGACTCCTTTGAGTTGCTTCAATGAAATGTACTCTAAACTAATATCTAAAGAAGTGATATGATTGAATAGTGAAAATTATTAAACCAAAATGAAAATGTGAAAAAGTTGAACAGTATCGGTCACGCATCAATGGTGCGTCTTTATGTTTAACAAAAAATGTAATTTTGAAATAGTTGAAAGTTGAAATAGTTTATTTTATAATTTTTCTTCAAAGTTCGGCTTTCTTTACAGAATTATTTCAGGCGTTTATAAATGGAATAGTCAATTAGCTACTGCATTAAATGTTATTCAAAACCTGAAACTACCAAGTAAAATATATGGTGTGTACTGATACCTTTTATAAAAATAAAAGAAAGAGTTTTTTTTTACTAATAAGTAGCATTGAAACTCAACCATAATTAAAAGACTAGCTGATATACAGTCTTTAGATTTTGCAATTTGCAATAAAAATAATTAAGGAACAATATTAAATTGCTAAGAATAGCTACATTTTACTATTTTTCGCTCGATTTCTATGAAAGCTTGAAACTTGTTTGAAAAAAGCTGTCGAATTTGAGGAAATATAGCCGTGACACAGAACGGCTTGACCACATGATCACGGGGTTGAGAGGTAATTATTGTCAGATACAAGGTTTTGAAGAAAATGCGACTCAGATCACCTTTATTTAGGTTTATTCAAGATGATAATGATGATGAATGTGATGATAGTTTGATTTTGATAATTATGATGGAGATGATAATAATATTGACAATGTTGAATGTTATTAAGAATTAAGTGATGATTATTGAGGTGATGATTATTATAATTTTGATGATGAGGATAATGATGATAACGATTTGGATGATGATGAAGCTGATCATAGTTTAAATAATTTGAGGTGATTTTGGTGATGATTGACGTATGATGATTTCAATAATGATGTTGATCGGTTGATGATGATGATGATGATGATAGACGTGATATTATTTTTTGTGATGATGACAATGATGATGACTTCAATGATGATAATTGTGATTTTGATGATATTGTTATTTTGATGATAATTATATTGTTTGATAATATTGATTATGAAGGATTTATGTTGATGATGGGCATAAAGGTGATAATAATAGTATAATGATTTTGATAATGATGATGATTTTGATGTTGATGGACGCGATGATGAGTTTGATGATGATGTTGATGTTGTTGACAATGGGGTCGATGATTCTTATGACTTTGATGGTGATGATAATGATGATGACGACGATGATGATGATGTTAGTTATCACTTCCTTGAATTTGTATATAACCGACTTCATGATGGGGAGCGTTATTTGTTGAAGGAAGGCACCACTTTTAAACTGATGCAGATTAAACACTATAAGTTAAGAGCTAACACAGGCAAGATAACACAAAAAGTATCTTTTTGAAGGATAGATGTAAACAGCCTTGGTAAAACAAGTTCAAATAAGTCAGTCTTGTACCATTTTAGAACAGATTGTTTATATATATACATGATCAATAACAAACAAGACACATACACATCTTTTTACACTATTTCTGTAATACGTACGGATGTTTAACCTTGAAATTAAATAATGTTTATTTAAGCCATGAATATCGACCCTGTTCTAGCTTACGATATGAATACAATATAACTTTTAATATACAATTTTGGGTATCGGTATCTATTTCTTTTACAATAATATGATCTACTCTGTGCATGTTTATTTCAAACAAAGTTTCGCCGACAAGACCTTGATTTTTTTTTCTAATCATATTTTATTGCTAATATATACAGACAAAATAATTGATTTCGAAATAACAAATAGCAAAAGGGTTGGCCCAAGTTCGACCCTCCACTGCTAAGACCTTAGATACCATACAAACCCCTAGAGTGACAAAAATAAGTGAAAATAACGTTGAATTTAACATATTTTGGATACAGTAATACATTAAACATTGTTATCAACAATAAATATATTGTGAAAGATAACCGAGAATGTAGATGATCAGATACCGATTTATATGTTCTTTTGTTGAGATATTTACCTGTCTGTGAAAGGTGACACGGATAACTCGTCCTGTCAAATATGAAAGCCATAAATGAATTACGTCCCTTCCATTAAATATGCAAGAATTATAAATAAATATGACAACACTGTCCTTTTCTAATTTAGCATTTCACATCAATATACAATATTCTTAATATAGTCAGACGTGTGTTTCTGTATTCTGTTGAGGTATTTCAAGATTTTGTTTGAATTAAAAAAAAATCCGAAATACCTGTTTGAAAGAAATGTTTGTACAAGTATATTTCTTAATGAGAAATGGCGAATGCACATAGTCATTGCTAAACGGTTAAAACCTTATTAAAATACAAATACATGGAACATTTTATTCTGTTCACATTCAATAGTCATGTGTGTTGAATAATAGAGATATTCTATTTAAAGCTGCATGCCTCCAGATGAGCGAAAATATTTCAATAAAAACAAATTTAAGAAAAATGTACTAAGATTCTAGGAAAAGTAAAATTATTCAAGATTCGAGTAATAATTTACATGTTCTGTGCGATTAATGACTGATTTTTCAGTATTTATAATTATATTTCTACTGCGTTAATTTTTGCATATTTTGTCCTCTTTTTCATAATTTACGTGGGCTGTAAGTGCCATTGATAATTTGCAAATTGCTTCCTTTTGGTTATTTCACTAAATACTACTTTTAAACACATTTTCAAAATTTTCATGAAAGTTAGCATGAATCTGGAGGCGTGTTGCTTTAATAGTTATTATAATTATATTTATCTATCACTTTTCACCCTTAACATCGTTAATGGACTTTTTAGTCTTTTAGTTTTGATGAAACAATCATCCCTTTCATGACTTAAACAAAATATGTACCAACTGAAGAATCGGTAGCCGTAAAAAGGCTGACGGTTAAACTAAGATATCAATTATGAAACGCTATCAATAAAAAGATGGTTGCTTTTAATGTTACTAAATGCAATAACGGTACATCAAATAGTAAATCTTCTTTTTGATTTGAATTTTCCGTTGTAATGTTTTATTAAAATAGTTTAGACAGGAAAGTAGGTAGCAGCGAGTGAGTTAATGATTTAATGATTTACAGGCAGTTTTGCCCGTTTATCCCCTAGCTCACTGGTGTGTTATGTACCCGAGGTTACCTTTAAATCGTTCAAATCTGAATTTGACGACTGATAAAAAATTGACATACATTTAATAAATGGTAGCTTATTTTGATTAGCTATCAGATGTGAAATAGAAAGAGAGATTAAACTGAGGAGGTTCATTATATATATGTTATATATATATGTCTAGCTTCATATATCAAACATGAATAACTTTACAAAATTTATGACATTTGTGGTGGTGTCTATATTGTCAATCTTACCATCAACATCTGGACAGTGTTGTTTTCCTGATCAATGGACTGCAAATCTTGTGGAAACTACCGGTAAATATGAATAATTTTTCATGTAACTAAGATTTATTTTATAATGTAATAAACGCTTTTCTTGATAAAAAATATCTTAACTCTGCACCATCTTTTTGACAACGCCAGTAATGTATATTAAACACGTCTCGTTAATTGATTAAAGAATATCCAGGCATTTCATTTTCACCATGCCTTAACATCTTGACGTGCTAATTTGTCAGGCGCTATAATCGGACCAGAACAGAATAGCACAAAACTAGTATTTTTGATTTGTACATAGTACATCGTCATATACATAATAAATTTCAAGTATTGCATGTACATTTCATTGCAGTCAATATAAAGAAATCAATTATATAAATAATATAAAGAAATCAATAATTAACAAAAAAAAGCAAACGATTCGGACAGAATAAGATAATTACATTATTGTTTTATTCATGTATAAACTACAGGTGAGTACAATCAAGATTTGGACTCGGCATCACTCGCCTATATTAACAGAGAGGTTTACTATGATTATACGGGGAAACAGTTTGCCTATTTGGAGGATAGAGATAACAGGACAGCTCACATAAAGACACAAACAAAAATAATCATCAAATACATAGAGGTAATGTTAGTTAATTACAAAATGATGGTTTCAATTTCAATTTTTTTATCATATTTTCACGGTAAATGCAAGAAAGCGACACTATAATGTACAGGTAGCGTACTGATGTCTGTAATCACAAGTAATCATTTAAATTAAGATGTTAAACACCGGGCTGCAATTTACATGTAATTCACTAAACAATAGAAAATACATACTGAAAATCTATCAGTTCTAACAAAGTTATCTTTATGTTGTTGCACGGTACACATTTAGGCAGTTATCTATTATATTTGTGAAAGATAATGATAATCATTGGAATTATAATAATGATATAACCTTTATATAACAATGTACATGTATATAAGTGTTACTGTTGTATGTTTTTGTATTGTCGTAAATTCATATAATATGAAACAAATACAAATGAAGTATCAAGTTATACATTCATTGCATTTTATTTCTTAACTATCTTTCGTATTTACAGGGTAAGAAGTATACAATTGTATCCAAAACATGTACAGTAGAATCCATAAGTACTAGCATGGAGTCGCCTTGTATACCAGGTACGTAATCCATCTTTGACCTGTTTGAACCCGAAGTGTAGTATTCTGTGCTACTAGTATGGAGCAAGACTTGCACATCCGAGCAGTCCGACTAGGCTCTACAAAGCTTTTGGACATGTTTAAATATTGAAATCCGTGTTAAAACTTCAAAGTCAAAGTAGGGCAAATTCATTTAATGTGAATTGTCAATTCCTTTATTTATATAAGCTATATAAACCGGAAATGTTTTATATACACGTATACATCTTTGACTTTATTTATTTTGACTAATATATTCTTTATTATAATACTACATATTTCTAAAGATGACGCCACTTCGTTCGGAACGCATTCGTACCCAGCTGGTGTCAAGGCGTCCGTTTGGTTTGTACCCGACAAGGTGAACGGTGGTTCAAAACGTATTTCTGTAACTCAAGAAGACTGTTTACCTCTCTCCGAATCTATTATCTCAGGAGGACCAGGTAAGAAGCTACAATTAGCACTGAAGGACATTTAATAAAGGGAAGCTACTCAGTATGACTTAAACAATAATTCAATAGCGAAAAACGTATCGATTCCTACCCTTGATTAGAATTGCAGAGAATCGGTTATTTACTAAATAAAAAAAATATTCTGCACACACACTAGGTAATGTAATTGTATATTTATAATAAAAGGATGAGCAAAGCATCATCTTACTAACGTTGAACACAAACATTTCAACATGTATATATTATATATATATATAATAATACAGACGTGCGTTTTCAAACATCTGGAAACAAAGTGATCCCTCGGAAGCACTTATCACAACAAAATTACATGAAAAATGCAGATTCGGTTTGATTGAGTCTGTACATGAAGGATAATGAATAAGTGCAACATCCCTCACGCTCCTAGCACCGGCTTGAGCGGTTCTCAAGAGCGGTACTCAATTCTCAACACTTAATAGTGCTGGCATCAATGATCCCAAATGACCAGAAACAGTCAAAAAGACAAACTGTTTTTCATCTTCAATGTAACTGCCTAATTCACATATTTGGCAAAGAATTCAATTCCTTAATAACATCAAAAATCACGAAGGGATCAACGTAACAGAGTAAAAGCCAGAAGTTCATTAAATACACGCAGTTAGTGATACATGTCGTACCTTTACAACAGATCTGCTAATTCAAAAGGACCCCAATGAGGTTTTTTGACATGATGGGACTGACAATATTTGTTTCCAACAATTTGATGAAGGTTTAGACCACTAATCTTTTTGCAAAATTTCAGATCTTTCGCGCACTTCTTTTTTTTCAAGAATAATTATTCAATTGTAAAAAAATGACCCAAAAAACACGTTTCACTCAAATCGGGCTAAGAAAAGCATAACAATACGATTTTCAATTTATTTCAAAGTATATTTCTTAACTATCTTTGCATGTATTTCTGTTTAAAGTGCCCCAGCTCATTTATGTTAGAAATTTGAATGTTATGTTTTTAGGCTTTTAAACCTCAGTGAAGTCCCTATAAGTGATATTAGATGTATGTATATTTTTATTCAGTAAATGTGATATACTGTAATAATGATATTAACCCTTTCGCTGCCAGAGGGTTATTGTTTTATTGTTCACCGATTTGCCAGAGGTTTTTCTAAGAAATTACTATATTATTAATTAATATAATTATTATTATTTATTATTAGTATTATAATAATTCTTTATGTTTCCAAATCTGTTAGTATAATAATAATTATTGTCGATGGTATAATTATATCTTTATATTGATTATTATTTTTATTATTATTTTTATTAATTTATAATTATTACTATTATTATTATAGAAACGGCTAAAGCCGTCCATATGTCAAATACGCCGAAAATAACAGGGACGGCTTAAGCCGTCCCAATGGCAGTGAAAGGGTTAAGAACACGTTTTTATTATAGTGGCACGAATGTCACACTCTTGTTATTTCAACATTTTTAGCTACACAGCTAGCTTTCTGGTTTTACTCATCAGCTGCATTTCGTGCCTGAAATAATGCACAGAGGAACACCTGGGGTCTTCCTCCACCAGTAAAGCTGTGTTGGTGCGACGTAAAACCCAGCCTGAAAAAGATAATAGTGTTTTTTTCATAATAAAGGAAACTTCACACATGATACTTATTGGCTTCTTATCTAGACAAAACCAACAGTACATTAATATAAGTTTTCAGAAGGTGAAACTATGTAGTATTATGTGTAAGGTAATTTATACGCCTTTTTCAATACAAATTAAGTTGACATTTAAATGATATTCGTGGCATTTGTCTATTTATATAGACACATTTTGAAATGTTTCAATAATCAGTCACATGTGTTATTTAGCGATGCTGGTGTTTTGTTCGAATTTAATATATATACCGGTATATATAGATGTATATATCAGATATATGTTTTAATTGACAAAATCAACATTTAAAGCTATATTTTAAACTTTCTTATTGAGCAGCTGTTTTATTATCCAATTTATTGTATATAAGATTTATGCATAAAATATTGTTATAATTCAAAATTTTAATGATAACATGGTTGCATGTGTACTATCATAAAATATAAATGGAATAGGGTCTACTAAACTTACAATAATAAAACAAATATTTGATAAGTTTGATATTTATTTCGTAAAATATTGTAAAACATTGTTTACATTTAGGGATTGTTTGGAGCATTATATTTTCAGATTACATATTGCGCATGAGTTTGTATCAGAATGTAACAAAAGGAATTAGTGACCCGACAGCATTTAATATACCAGCAATTTGTAACCACAAAGATACGGTTAGTCGTGTTAATGTATTTTGTAAGTCATCTTTCCCCATAATTGCCCAGATAGAAAAAACAACAATATAACTAGCAAATAAACAAACAAACACTGTTAACAAAGCAATATGAAATCAAGTTTATAATTTGGTATCACTCTGTCACACCATACCAGTCACATACACCAGTCACATACAACAGTAACACCACACCAGTCACATACAACAGTAACACCACACCAGTCACATATACCAGTCACACCACGCCAGTCACATATACCAGTCACATACACCAGTCACATACACCAGTCACATACACCAGTCACACCATATCAGTCACATACACCAGTCACATAAGCCAGTCACACCATATCAGTCACATACACCAGTCACATAAACCAGTCACACCATATCAGTCACATACACCAGTCACATACGCCAGTCACACCATACCATACCAGTCACATACACCAGTCACATACACCAGTCACATACGCCAGTCACACCATACCATATCAGTCACATACACCAGTCACATACACCAGTCACACCATATCAGTCACATACACCAGTCACATACACCAGTCACACCATATCAGTCACATACACCAGTCACATAAACCAGTCACATACACCAGTCACACCATACCAGTCACATACACAAATCACACCTCATCAGTCAAATACACCAGATATATCCCACCAGTCATATAAACCAGTCACACCATACCATTTTAGTCACACACACCAGTAACACTTCACCAGTCACATACACCAGTCCCCCTATGCCATTCACATACCCCAGTCACACCGTAGCAGTCACATACACCAGACACATACAACAGTCACACCACACCAGTCACATACACCAGTCACACCACGCAAGTCAAATATACCAGTCACATACACCAGTCACACCACGCCAGTCACATACACCAGTCACACCATACCAGTCACATACACCAACATACACCAGTCACACCATACCAGTCACATACACCAACATACACCAGTCACACCATATCAGTCACATACACCAGTCACATACACCAGTCACACCATATCAGTCACATACACCAGTCACATACACCAGTCACATACACCAGTCACATACACCAGTCACACCATACCAGTCACATACACCAGTCACACCATATCAGTCACATACACCAGTCACATACACCAGTCACACCATATCAGTCACATACACCAGTCACATACACCAGTCACATACACCAGTCACATACACCAGTCACATACACCAGTCACATACACCAGTCACACCATACCAGTCACATACACCAGTCACACCATATCAGTCACATACACCAGGCACATACACCAGTCACACCATACCAGTCACATACACCAGTCACACCAAATCAGTCACATACACCAGTCACATACACCAGTCACACCATATCAGTCACATACACCAGTCACACCATACCAGTCACACCATACCAGTCACATACACCAGTCACACCATATCAGTCACATACACCAGTCACATACACCAGTCACACCATACCAGTCACATACACCAGTCACACCATATCAGTCACATACACCAGTCACATACACCAGTCACACCATATCAGTCACATACACCAGTCACATACACCAGTCACACCATATCAGTCACATACACCAGTCACATACACCAGTCACACCATATCAGTCACATACACCAGTCACATACACCAGTCACACCATACCAGTCACATACACCAGTCACATACACCAGTCACACCATACCAGTCACATACACCAGTCACACCATACCAGTCACATGCACAAGTTACACCACACCAGTCACATACACCAGTCACACCATACCAGTCACATACACCAGTCACACCATATCAGTCACATACACCAGTCACATACACCAGTCACACCATATCAGTCACATACACCAGTCACATACACCAGTCACACCATATCAGTCACATACACCAGTCACACACACCAGTCACACCATACCAGTCACATACACCAACATACACCAGTCACACCATATCAGTCACATACACCAGTCACATACACCAGTCGCACCATGCCAGTCACATACACCAGTCACATACACCAGTCACACCATACCAGTCACATACACCAGTCACAAACACCAGTCACATACACCAGTCACATACACCTATTACAGACTGGTAAATCATATTTTCTCTCGGTCGCCCACTTTGTCCATTCATTTATTCATTCGTCTATAGGATACTCATCTATTATCCACTTTGTAAAGTTTTATGCTAATAAAGTCAACCTAAAGACTACTACAAATAAGTTGCTATGGTTAAATTTGTTGACAATGTGCGACTTTAGTCAAAGATAATATACAATGTATGTAAAATTTCTAATATATCTTTCGAGATTGGTCCAGTATATACAATGTATATGACATTCTTGGATAAAGACAGTAATCTATATAAACGACAAACCAAAAAGTTTCCTTATGGAAGATTCTGTTTTTTTTTCCAATTAGATGTTAGCATTTTAGTTAGTCATATTTTAATGATTCTGGTGATAATTGATTTACCTATTGGTCTATCGCTAACCTTTAATTTGCGGTTGAAACATTAAAAATGTACATAATTTTGTCTAATGATACACCGTTTTAAAAGAACAATCAATATTACAGTGTATTTTCGTCGATTTCGATGGACTCTCTTATTTGTAGTCTTTTATTTAGTGTTCAGTTTTGTTTTTGAACTGATAAATTTTATTATGGTTTGTCTTTTCAGTTATACTTTAGGAAACACCTGAGATAGATAGATAGAGCAAAACAGATGTGTCTGAGCGCAACTAAAACATCAAATGTTCTATAAATGAAATGCAATATTTTAACTTTGTTTTATGTTATCTATACAAAAAAAGTTTATGGCTCGAGTTTCCTCGATGACATTCAAAAATGATACAGACTTTCTTAACTATTTTACCTAGTGACATAAGAAGTCAATGCTACTTTATGTTGTATACATGTATATTGAAAAGTTAATAAAATTACAATATAAAGCTGTTTATAATACATAGCAAGGCCTGTCAAAATAATATCAACAACTTCTAATTGATAATTGTAATTTGTATCCGGCTTTATAAATAAAATTTACTTGACTTGATTTGTTACAATGTTGTATATTTTCTTCTTCTTATCCGTACTTTATTGACTAGCTAGTAATTGGGTGGCTGCTTGCATACATGAACACACTCAATCAAACCGAGCCTTAGACATTTACTGTTGTGTCATAGTTGGCGACCTTAACAGTTTCCATTTCGACTATTTCATGTTCCTCCAGCTAGCAAGATATTTAATCACAAGATTTGAATGCTGATTTATCTTTTTTTTGTTCACTTGATCCAATTATGAAACAAAGATTGCTTTGAAGGAAGTATATACAATTTAAATAACATAATGATATGTACGCACAATTAAGATTACTATTTTCTGTAAAAAAAATGTGGTTTAAGACTTTTTGTACGAATGAAAAAGACGTCCAGTTGTCAGAAACTTTCACCTTAATCAACATTTGTTCAATTTCTGTACACCGGGTGTATGCAGAATCTGGAATCCAAGTCGCATTTAACGAAAAATACTGACGATACAGGGTAGATTTATTTCAAGCCATTTGGAATATTAAAACAAGAAACATTACACTGTCAAGAAATCGGTAAACACTTGATAAGAAAACATTTCTGAAAAGAAACCTATATTTTTTGTCGTGTTTGAATTTTATATGAAACACATTTTCCCCAAAAATCTTTTGATTTTAAGATAGTTTCGTTTAGGATTATTTTACATTAGAGCGTTTACATGTAACCATATAAACTACCAAACACAGAAAAATGAAAATATTGCTGGGTCAGTTCAATTGTTCAATTGAGCCTGGTCCTGAACTGTTGTGGTAGATACAAGCTGCCGTTCATATCCTGTGGCTCGCTCTGAATTTAACATTTAAATTGATATAGAGTGTAGAAACATCCGCATGATAAAATAGAGAAAATAATAAACCTTTAACCAGGTTACAAACTGAGGTTATCTTTGTATTCAATGTTATCACTTTTTGTTTTGCCTAATGGGTTCGTTCTATCTAAATATCTAGGTCATACAAGAAGTAGTTTATGTAAACTTATTTGTCTTAACTTTTTAAATACCCTGCATGAAAACAAAGGAGAGAGAAGGGTGAGAAAAGAGAAAATAATAAACCTTTAACCAGGTTACAAACTGAAGTTATCTTTGTATTCAATGTCATCACCCATGTGTTTGCTAAATAGGTTCGTTCTTTCTAAATAGGTCATACAAAAAGTATTTTATGTAAACTTATTTGTCATAACTTTTTAAATACCCTACATGAAAACAAAGAAGTGAAAAGGGTAAGATCAATTTTGTTTGCTAAACTAAGGTATGGCAGGGAGGATCGTGAGACTCACAATTAACATGGCACAGTGTACGTTTTTTTACGCTTGTATATTTAGACATTCAAACATGATCCAGACTTTCTTAACTATTTTACCTAGTGACATACGAAGTCAATGCTTCTTTATGTTGTATACATGTTAATTGAAAAGTTAAGAACATTACAATATAAAGCTGTTTATAATACATAGTAAGAACTTTTCACCTGTCTAAATAATATCAACAACTTCTAAAGAAAAGATAACATTAAACAAATGTAACTGCATGCCACTTAATTAAGTAGTAAATTGTTAATTGTAATTTGTATCCGGATTTATCAATAAAATTTACTTGACTTCACTTGTTCAAATGTATTAATGTATATTTTGTTCTTCTTATCCGTATTTTATTGACATTCCATAGCTCGGTATTGGGCGACTGCTTGCATTAATCATTCTTACACGCGAACAGACTCGAACAAACCGAGCCTTTGACATTTTCTGTTGCGTCATAGCTGGCGACCTTAATGGTTTCCATTTCGACCGTTTAGCCAGTAACATATTTTATCACAAGATTTGAATGTTATTTTTTATCTCTTTTTGTTCGCTCGTGCAGCTGGCTTGATCCCATCATGAACAAAAGACTGCTTTGAAGAAAGGATATGAAGTTAAAACAACATAAGAATATGTACGCACACATTAGAGTAATATTTGCTGTAAAAAATTTGATTAAAGACTTTTTGTACAGATGAAAAAGACGTTCAGTTATCAGAAGTTTTCAGCCTTATCGACATTTGTTCAATTTCTGTATTTTTTCAACATCGGGTGTATGCACAATCCAGAATCAAACTTGCATTTAACGCAAAATACTAGTACTGCCGAAACAGGGTAGATTTATTTCAGGCCATTTGGAATATGAACACAAGAAGTATTACATTGTCAACAAATCGGTAAACACTAAATACGAACACATTTATGATTTAATATCACCTAACAATTTTCCTATAATTTTTTGAGTTTAAGATAGTTTGATTTTAGTTCAGGGCTATTTCATATTAAGGCGTTGTCAAACCATATTAGGCGTCAAAACACAGAAAAATGACAAAAATGCAGGTTCAGTTCAATTTAACATGGTCCTAACCGGTTGTGGTAGATACAAGCTGCCGTTTCTGTCACGTTGTTCGTGCTGAAGTGATATAGACTTTAGAAACATCCGCATAATAAAACTTTAACCAGGTTGCAAACTGAGGTTACCTTTGTCTTCAATGTCTATCATCTATGTTTTTGCTAAAAGGTTTCGTTCTTTCTAAATATCTAGGGGTCATACAAAATGTATTGTTGTTAGCAAAACTAAGTTATAACATTTGACGTTCAGCGGTGCCCAATTAACATGGCACATGTACGCTATTATTACGCATGTATATTTAGAATACTTGTTACACATTCCACAGACTCATTATTTTGAATACCTATGGATGACCTCAACATATAGATAATTTTTCTATGAAATATAAAGCTTTATTTATTGGCTCATATCCATTAAATGCTAATGCATAAAATTGTTTTCGCTAAATGTTCTTCACAGGATTCGTTTATGTTGTAGTATATAATATATTGTATGAATAATAGGAGTTGTTACTTTTAATGTATTTGATAATGATAGAGACTGGCAGTACGGTGATACAATATTAAACAATTATAGCTCGTTTTTTTTGTCATTCTACATTACAGCCCTACTGAACTATTGACAAACGTCTAGCCATGTTCTAGAAAAAAGAAGTTTATTTTGTAATCATCAAATTGTCAGTGGTAATTACCGGTTCCTTTTTTTATAGATCTATAGTATTGATAATATTGACCATCATTATGTCCGAGCGATTTTCTACGTTTAAACCTGTTTCCCTATTATTTTCAACTTTTTACGCGTAGTATATGTGTATTTTTGAATATGGTCTATGAGGTTATAACGGATAACAAGGTGTCTTGTATCAAATGTTAAAAGTCACAATAATACGTTGTAATCATAGCACAGACGTAGATTAATTTCAATCATATTGTCGCATAAGTATACGTATTATTTTGCATTTAGGATTTATTTTTGAAAACAGCAGAGTATAAATGAAATATCACATTGATTTTGCTACTTTGAGTTGCTTCTTAACAAGTTTAACCTTTAAATATAGACAATATTTAAATGACAACATTTACAATGCTTTCAGTTTACATAAAAGCATTTAATTAAGTACACCTCCAAACATGTTTTTCTTTCTGCTAATAAAAGTATTCAAAATGGAAACCTAAAAGAAACGCACAGCGCGACATAATTGAAATGTTGCAGGATCGGTTTGACCTGTCAAGTTATAAAAATTATTTCACATGTATATAAAGAAAACCATTATCCATCGCTCGATGTTACTTTATAACAAATTATTTTTTGAATATACATCGTATAAATTGACCACTTTTCACAAACTTTTGCTGCTTTTTCATGTATTTGATTTACTTTATTATAGATCAGAGATGATTATCCATTGACTTAGATATCACCTTTAAATATAATCTCATCACAAAAAAGGAAAATAAACCTTTGGATTACTCAACAACTTATTTCAGCTTTCTATTTTAATCAGTATAATTATGTTATGTAGTTTCTGTTATTATTTATCTTTAGCATCATCATCATCATCATCATCATCATCATCATCATCATTATTATTATTATTATTATTATTATTATTATTATTATTATTATATTAGATCTATTATTATCATTATTATTTTTATTTATTTTTTATCATTATTATTATTATTTTTATTTATAATGTTTGGTATTTTCTTTCGGATTTGCTTACCAATTACAATCATTTAGAATCTATAAAACTTTGTCATTTTGACAGTATTTGTATAAGTGGCATCTTGTCACTTCTAGACATCTCTATTTATAGACTATATGATGTGATGTTGTACACCTACTTATATGACGTTCTCGATTTATTCTTTTGTTTAGTTAGAATATATTCTGTTTAAGAAATAATATATCCCAAACTGTGATTTTATCGCTCAATAACATCACTGTTTGGAGTTCGGATGCGAGGACTTATATCACGAGGGCGTATGCGCATTCGAACGACAAACAGTGATGTTATCCAGAGATAAAATCACAGTTTGGGATATATTATTTCGATTCTAACACGAAATCAAAAAAATAAATGTTGCCGAACCTGATATTAAGCAAAATTGCGCCTAATTTGTTTCCGTACTTACTCTCTGTAGAGGTTACGTCACATGTATAATGATTACGTCAATGTCTAAATATAGAACGTCAAACAGTGATTTAATAGCATAATAATACACACTTTCGGTTCTTCTATGCTCAATAGGGAAAATGCGGGTCGTGTTAGAATTGGTTTTAAACAACACTTAATTTAATCTGCTGTTGTCATTATAATTTTACTCATTTTTATCGGTACAATTATTAACCAAAGTTATCGCAAAATATTTTTTTATTTGTAGACACAGCAATAATAATTGCTTTTTGTCATATCTGTATGCATAATCTATAAATTATCTAAGTTTATTTTAGAAGATATAAAGAATGATAACATGTCCATAACACACCTTAATGCCGTTTTTGAAACAATTATTCCTACATAGATAAAATCTTTCTTTCAAATATAGCTTTCTGTCTCAATAATTTATTTTTCATACA